CTTTTTAGACTAGAATATTAAAATGTTAAAATTCAGTATATAGAATGTTTATATCATGGTTGTTAATTTAAGACTGAAGTCAAGCTCTGAGTGACTGAATGTGAATTCTTAACAGTTTCCTTTGAGCTAGTTACTTAACCTTTCTACATGTTAACTTTTTCATTGTGAAATGAGTTTGACAATAATAGTACCTACCTCTTTAGGGATATAGTAATATTACAAGGAATAAATTGATTTAGAAATACATAGCATAATATCGGCTCAGAATAAATAATCGGAAAATGTTAGTGTAACTATTGTTCGTAATCCTGTTACTACTGTGTGATTCATCATCATCCTCATCCCTGTTCCCACCCTCATTTTTCCTTCCTGGTGCATTCCTATTCAGTGTTGGGTTCCTTGTTTTCTCCAAAGGAAGTCTTCTCTCACTCCCACACAGAATCAGTTCCTCCCTCCTTCCATACCTCTGAGGTAGTCTCAGGGTGAGAGCCACAGCAGATCTCTGCCTATACCCCAACACCTTTATCCTTAACCCTTTTTTGGGTCCCTCTTAGAAGTGTACATGTCCTTTTGGAGAAGGGCCGACCGTGCCCTCTTACCACCTGCTGCAGACCTCGACAGTGGGGCCCACAGCCTCCTTTTACCACCCTGGCCCATGGGGGGGTCTGTCTCTTCCATGACTTCTCCCACCAGGGTGGGATGCTCAGTTCTGACAGCAATTAGTGTGTGTGCTTGTGTTATTATAAAGGATTATCCGTTTAAGTTGTAGTTATCTGCTTACGTATTTCTTTCCTCACTGCACTGTGAGCACTGGGGTGTTTTTCATGTTACAGCCATAGTACCCAGTCAGTATTGTCCACGAAGCAGGCGTTTATTGTAAGGTTTCATTTTAGAGTGAATGAATGAAGTTCCTTTATTAATATAAGTTGGGGACAATGAGCTATTGCTTCCTACTGATAAATGCTGCTGCTTTAATACAGCTGTAATTTCTAGGAGGCAGTGTAATTTGGCAGAAAGACTCTGAGTTAGAATAAGAAGAGGGAACTCTGTGATCTAGGCAAGCCGCTCCTCTGTGTACCGTTTCCTTCCATTTAAAGTGTAAAACACCTGCTGGGCCTACATTACACGGTTGTAAAAAATATGAAATATGCAGTGACAATTGAAAGATTATCAACAAATGTAAACTGGACTACTGTGCTGAAGAACAAGCGGACGTCAGCGTAATGTTGTGATTTGATGGAATTCCTACTTCGTTTTACAAATTTTCTAAAACTTCCATGACAGTTTGAAAATTTATGAAGAAAGATGTGTAAATTTAATAAGTTAGCCTGTTATATAATAGTATAAGTATCTGAAAACCAATCCACAAAATTTAAAATTCTTATTTTAGGGTCTTATAATTGAATTCTTTTTTTTTTTAACATGTGATTTTGTGTACATATTTTGTTTTGTTACCTCCTACAGTTTGGGTTCCAGAGACATCTTTTTTATATTCTTTTTAAGTTTTTGATATAATTATACTGTAATTATTTTAATGTTTTCTGCTGTTGGATTTTCTTAATATTTTCCTATTTTCTATTCCATGTATTTTATTAAGTCCATTTGGGCAAACCATGTGCCATGGTCATGGAAAGATGGTCTGTGTTTTTTATGAACTATAAAATCAGTCATCTTTTACTGATTGGTAACATTTTGTGTTTCCTTTGGGCAAGTTATTTAACCTCTTTGTGATTTACTTTCCCCAACTATAAAATTGAGTTGTTGGTATAATTAAATGAGATAAATATCTGTAAATAGCTAAAATAGTTTCCTGCACATAGTAAATGCCCAGTAAAACTTGGGGTTTATTGTTACTGCGGGTGATGAAAACAACAACGTATCAATGTTTCTGTCTCAGTATTTTGTATATGTGCCTAATTTTCAATTTTAACTTTGCTCTGGAGTAGCACGGGACCATTAATTCTTTATTTCTACCTGAAAAAATCTCTACTTTTTCTCCATAATTTAATCATGGCAATTTGATTTTTTAAAAAATCAAGATTTAACTTTAGGATAAATGATGAACAGTAATTTATGTACAATTATAGAGTATAGAATTGAAGAAAAAGCAATGAAATATATAAAGTCTTTTCAAGTAAATACAGTTTAAAAAATATGTGTCAGAGGTCTTACTTTACTTATTGAAAAATATCATCATTTTACTCATTCAGGTCCCTTAAAGTCAATTTATTTACCTTCCATTGTATTCTGCTTTACTGTTAAAACTTCACTTTTTACATTTGCAATAATCTCCACACTTTCTGGTGTTCATATCGGATACTTACAGTACAGCATCTTCTCCAGAAATTTAGGAGATAATTTGAAGTTACTTTTGTAGATGATATTCCTTTAAAAAGTACAGTTTACTGTAATTTTGAAGTGGATGTAGATGACAGACTTCCTTCTAGAGAATAAATCTTAAATTTGCAATTAATTTAAGTTTGCAACTAATGGCCGTAAATGTTGAGCACGTGGGAAATGTTGCCAGTCTCGTTTACAGTGAGCACACGGCCTCTCTGCATGTACTCTTCCAGGCAGAGTTACTGCGTGGGGTTAGCACTGCTGTGATTCTAGTCACTACTACTGAAATCTCAAGTTTGAGGCATACTGTGTTCACGCCAAAAGAATAGAACAAATTCTGTACACCATTAATTGCATCAATTTTGCAATATTCAGTGTTTCACAATACGAGTTGCTGGGCATTGCCACTCACTTTCAACTACATGATCAAAGTTTCTTAAAGCTACTTCATGACTTGGTTACTAAAGCTTTAGTTTTAAAAAATCTAAGTAGTATAATAATAAAAATTGAAGCCCTGTTTATTAGTTATCCCCATAGCTTTTCAACATTTCAATTACTAAAATTTGCATCTTATTTTCTTAGTCATAACATTCAAACATATTATCATGATCATAAATGCATCATTTATCTGGTCTTACCTGACTCCTTAAGGGTTTCTGCCATAATTTGTTTAATCATTTCCCTGCTTGGATGTGTATTTTTTAAGTTTCAAAGTGTTATTATGCACAATGTTGGAATGACCATAATAGATTCGTATGTGATTTATGAATAATTAAACTTGAGGAAAAAATAAAATTACAGAAAGATGGAGAAGTATATTGAATCTTAAAATTCTTAGGGCAATAGCAGTGTGCTTTCAAGGATCCAAGGAGTTGATGATACTGATGATTTATTCCTAATTTCATTCAAAAGTGATTCCTTGATGGAAATTTATCATTATTTTTGTCTTATCAGATAGGATCAATGTCATTTAAGAAAAGGACAAAGATTTATATCAAGAATTGAAATGAGAGGGAAGAAGGAGAAAGAAAATAAGAGAAGGAGGAAGGGAGGGAGGTGGGAGTGGGGCTCAAGCTGAAGATTGCTTGTGGAATTAACTGAGGTATGAGATAGACAGGAAGAAGTTTGATATGTTCTAGAAAGCCCCAGAGAGAAGGTGGCAGGGAAGAGTCTAGGAGTTAGTTAGACTACATTCTCTACACTCTCTGAGGACACTTTTGACACAAGGCAACCTTTTTGCTATTTGGAGCATTTTTTAGGTATGTGGGGGAACAGGAAGAAAGTGTGTAGTAAGTTAATTATACCAACAGGGAATGTGTAAATCAGATGTTCACAACTTAAAAAGAGCACTGATTATGCTTTTGTGCCACTTAAGGGACACTTGCGTAATGGCGTGAACATGCTAACACACTGGGCATTGTGAACGATTTCTTGTTTATTCCGTCCCTCTGTGTCTCCCTGTTAGGATCTGAAAAATAGAGATGGCAGGATCTCAATGTGCCTGTTGAAGCGTGTCACTTAATTGTCATGGATACTTTGAAAATATAAGACTAACAAATATTAATGAGATCAATTGAAGGGGCTAGTCTAAGCTTTTGTCAGTTTGTAACCTTCAGTTTCTTTTTCTTTTAATAAGTTTCATAGAAGAATTTACAAAGGAATCCCACTCCAGCTCAGAGGTGAAGTCTGGGCACTCCTTCTCGAGATCCCTAAAATGAAAGAAGAAACAAGAGACCTTTACAGTGTGAGTAGCTAAAGCTAACCTGTTATTTTGGAATTAAAAAGTAAAATGCATTTCTTTTAGCTTTCAAGGTATATGTAAGATATTCATATTATCATGTAAAATTATATTAAAATTACCTTACATTGGGTTTTGGAGGCCTATTACTTGTTTTGTGGATTGCAATCTACTTAAATTTCAAACATACTTCAGTCAAAATGTCATTGTATCAATCAATCAGTAAGTATCAAGTGCTTTTCAAATACTTAAATGATCAATTAAAGTACTTAAAATGATCAACTAATGTTGGGACATATTCATAGGGAAAATTGACTAACACCTGATTGTGCAATGTAATATTGATAAAGAGATTTGCGGTGTCACTTTGATGGTTTATGGGAAAATAGCAGAATTCAGTTTGTCCAACACCTACCTGTATATGATTCTTTTCTTCCAGGGTGAAAAAAGAATTTGCCCTCAAGGTTATTAGGATAGCTCTAGGTTTTATTATTTTTTATTTAAAAGTTAAACTTTTGACTGAATGGTAAGTAATATTTTCCTTAAATTAGGCAATGCAGTAAATGTACCTCCTTGTCATCTCAGCTATACCCTTTCTAAATCTAAATTTTATATTAACCTTTGAAAGGAGTAAGAAATTTACATTTAAGAATCTTAGACCTGTAGGTTTTAAAATATATTCTTTAGAAAATGTGTATGAATAGAATAAATTTAAATCGAAGAAATGAGAAAAAAGTTATTTATAGCTTAAAGCCAAAGCCACTTATAAAGACATTTGATGTTCTTTTGATTACGCGCGTGCGCACGCACACACACACAAACACACACACATACATACTTTTTCATGTAAAATTTCATGAAGACGAAAGTTAATACATACTGTTTAGTTTAAAGAGTTACTAATTGGTGTGAAAAAAAGATTTTTAAATTTAGCTGTTTGGACCCTATACAATCTATGGGTTTACACCTCATGATTTGAGTGTTTCAAATTATTTTAAACTGTTGATTAGATATTTGCATTTATTATTGTAGTTTTAGAGCCAATGTTCAAAATAATGTCTGAGAGAACATAAAATATAACCCCAGCACCTAGTGTAGTGTGCCTAGCATATGGTACGTGTTCGGCAGATATTTAATTAATGAGAGTAGAAAATTAACGAAAGTAAAAAGCACTTTTATTTACACGCTCTATTCATTTCCTAGGGCTGCTATAACCAAGTACCACAAACTGGGTGGCTTAACACTATCTGCTAACATCTCACAGTTCTGGAGGAGAGAAGTCTGAAATTAAAGTGTCGCCAGGGCCATACTGTCTCCCAAGGCTCTGGGAGTGGAGTCTGTCCTTGCCTCTTGCCAGCTTCTGGGGGTTGCCAGACGTCCTTAGTGCTCCTGGGCTTGCAGCTGTGTCGCTCCATCCCGCCTCCTTCGTCACGTGGCCTTCTTCCCTGTGTGTCTGTCTTTCCAGATAAGGACACCAGTCTTTGGATTTAGGGCCCGCTCTCATCCAGGATGACCTCATCTTAACTTACAAAGATCCTATTTCCAAATACGGTCACATTCACACCTTCCTGGTGGACATGAATTTTGGGGAGACACTATTCAACACAGCATACCTATTAATGGTAGAACTATAGTTTTCAGTTACATTTTAGGCTTTTTCTATGTAGAATAAAATTACCCAATGATCAGTTAATATGAGAGCACCATTTAGTAAAAACTGATAGCAACCACAACAAAGGAAATGACTTGCCATCCAATGCTTTCAAGCTTAAAATTCTCCACACTACCATAAACATTATTTTTATTATTTGAGTTTTCCTCAGCATCATTATTTAACCATGACTTCCTTTCCCGACCGTCCTTTCTTGCTCTCTCTCTGCCAAAGTGTGTACTTTGCTCTCCACACATCCTTGGTGAACTGGAACTTCAGTAGGAATACAGCTGCCTTCTCTTAATCAGCCAGGATTTTTCTCAGGTGAAGTTGTTTGGAGCCTGGCATGTCACAAGCACCCAGTGACCTGTCTTGGAATAAAGCTCTATGCGAGGTGCTGAGGAGCATACAAAGATGAGTAGGTACAATGTCAAGGATCTTTTCTTCTATGTTGAGGGAGACATGATTGCATAGAAAGATTTAGTAATGGTATGTGATAAATACCTCAAAAATGGGAAAACAAAACACTTGGCTGAGTTGAAAAGAGAAAGAAAGGAAATGACCTTTACGACCCAGGAGGTGTTTGAGGGGGGCTTTGTTTCCCAAAGGGAAGAAAAACAGGGACGAATTTCCAAGGCACATTGCGAAAACCTTCCCTGATTCCCTCCCTCCAGTTGGGACACGATTAGTGTTGATGTGAAGCATCATGTTATTGTGTTTTAGAAACATGGTACCTACTTGACCTTGAGGAGAGCTGATGTTATTTGAATACTTTTATGTGTGGGTATAATAAATGCTGTACATGAATTACCTCATTTAATTCCTGCAGCAGTGCCAAGGTGCAGGTTTTGTTATCCTTTATCATTGTTATTTTCATCTTACAGATGAGAAAACTGAGCTTAGTGAAGTCAAGTAACTTTTTACCCCAGGGTCAGTAAGTGGCAGAGGCAGGATTTAAAATCCAGGCTGTCCTGGCTCCTGAGCCCATGCTGTCATCGTCTACATTTTCCTCTTAATTTTATCTCATTTTTATTGTCTCTCTTGTGTCTAGCAGTGTACCTTACCAACGGTAGAGGGTTAGTCCCTGGCAGAAAACAACCTCATTGCCAGCCTTAGCGTGGCTCAGTAATCTCGCAGGCCAGACCCACAGTGATAGTGCCAGTTTTCCCCTAACTGCTTTCCCCTGTACTTCCGCCCTCAGGTCTGTGGGTTCATTAGATACCATTTCTTTTAAATAAAATGTTTATTCTTACATTATTGTGACACTTATGGGTCTCAACCTATTCAATCTCAAGAGATAACTGTAGAAGCTATTTACCTTCTTTCATTCAGGGTAAAAAATGTGTTTGATTTCCTGTATTCTGTGCATTAGCTCGTAATCATTTTAGGACATAAATAATATTTCTGACCTGTTATTTTTTACCTACTTAACTGGGCTTTGCTTCTGTCATGAGGCCTTTTTTATGATGGATTTTCTTGTCCCCTAGAGAAACTGATGTTATAGATGTGTTGGGGTCTTTTCCTCCCTTCCAATTAAATTTTATTTTAAGGCATTTTCTTATCATGTCTTGTCAAACATTTTCTTCCTCTGTTTTGACATCTCATCTTTTACCAGGAGGCCTGTAGCACAATAACTGAAACCTCTTTACTCGCTTGTTACCTTTTTTAAAAGAAGATATTAAGAGAAGAAATATGTACAGATTTTTATTTTTAAAGCTAAATTTTTATAATGTCTTCCAAACCAACTTTTATCAGAAATAACATACAGTAATATTTTAGTGTTCATATGATTCTGATACAATACTATAAATATCTTCCTCTGTCTTCAGAATTCTGAAACAAACTGTGGTTACTTTTCATGTTTTAAAAAGCTACAGAAGCTGCCCTTCTCTGAGCTCCCACCTCAAAACATGAAAATACACATACTCACAAAACACTTAACATACATGTACGTATTTCAAACATGCCCAGATAGCCGCCTTTCTACTTTTAGCTGAAATCAGGAACAGTCATGTTTTTATATATATTTGTTAGAATTGATTTAAGCAGAAGTCTGTATTACCAGTACATGGTAAATGGGTCAATATAACATATGTATATAGATTCTTATTTATACTAAAACGTGGTTAAGTATAAATTCATATAAACTTTAATCTCCTGTCTGGCTAAACACAGGAGATTAAGCATACCCATTTAGCTTCCTTTCCCCTGAAACACCCCTAAATCGATAGCAGAGTTTTTAAAAAGGCAAACCCACAGTAACGAGAAAATGGGAGAAGAGATAACAGCTGCCAATTTTTGGAGACCAGAATGTAGACAGATATTTAGTAAACTTAGCAAACTTGAGAAAGCTAAATCCTAGGCTGGCAGAGGGAAATTGGACAAGCAACCAGATTCATATCTCCGAATCACCAGAAGGCTTGGTAATTGCCAACTGCAGGTACTTCTGGAAGGGGAGGTGAAGATAAAAACACAAGGGGCTGAAAGTCTGTTTTAGAAGCAGTTAGAGCCCCTAAGCCCCCTCCCAGCGCTGGCCTAGGACTGGACGTTTGTTACTTGGAGAGGAGGGAACAGAGCCTCTGGGCTGGGGAAGAACACAGACGTTGCTGAGCGTGGGCAGCTGTCACGAAAGCAGAGGAACTGAATATCCCAAATTTTGGACAGTCCAGCCTTTTCCCTCAACTCAGCTCCTGGATCATTGGCAGCCAGGTGCTTGTCTTCCTCACAGGAGATTCAGGAGCCTTCTCTGGGGAATGTGATCAGCATAAGAAAATAAACCCAGAGATCCTGACTTCAGGGGACCCCAGTGCAAGTGCCCGTCCAGATCCCTCCACAGTCAAGACCACAGTTGGGATGCCCAGCTGGGCACACAGCTTTTTAACATCCTACCTTTAAATAAAAGCAGAAACCAAAGTGTGCTATTATTCATCTGAGGAAAGAGACTAACATGAAGGACAAACGAAAGCAAATGGAAGAAAGCAACTTGTAAGAAACAGACTAAAGGGCAAGAGGAGAACTTTTAAAACTGTTGTTAATATCTTCAGAGAAATAAAAATAGATATTGCATCCATAAAACAAGTATAGGATGCTGTAAAAAGGAACATTCGAGAACAACAAAGGAGCTTAATATAAAAAATAATATAAATGAAAAACTTAATTGAGAAGAACAATTGAGGAAATTTCCCGGAAGGTAAATTATAAAGGCAAAGAGATGCAAAACAATAGAGAATACACAAGAAAACTAGATGACAGCCTAGGAGATCCCATGCTACAATAATTTAGAGTTTCAGAAAGAGAAAATAGGAACATGGGGAAGGGAGGACGAGGAAATTGACAAAGGAATTATTGAAGAATGTTTCTCAGAGCTGAAAGATGTGAGTATGAGTTTTTAAGATTGAAAGTATCCATCAAATGCCCAACCCTGTGGATAAGAATAGATCTAAACCAAATGCAGAAGTATGAAGTTTCAAAACATGGAGAGAGAAACTCCTGCAAGCTTCTAGAGACTAAAAACAGATTGCATATAAAGAAACAAGATTTGAATGGGAGCACTGGAAGCCAGAAGACGATGAAGCAGTGCCTTTTGAGCAAAAATATTTTCCAACTTAGAATTCTGGAACAGCCAGTTAAATAAGGGGGTAGGATTATCAGACATGCAAAGTTTCAAAAACTTCGTCTTCCATATGCGCTTTCACAGGAGCTACCTGAGAACGTGTTCCTCCAGAGCAAGGACGTAAACTAAGAGGAAAGAAGATTTGAAATCCAGGAAATGGGGCCCAACGTGAGAGAAAAGCAAAGGGAAGCCCCGGCAGATGGCGAAAGGAAGTCCCGGGACCCCTCTGTGCAGCAGGCCGGGAGGCCGGGCGGCCCAGGCAGGTCCTGGGAGAGAGGCTCCGAGGAGATGGAGCTGGCGGAACACCTGTTCTATTGGAACATCATCAGAGGAGATTTAGACAACTCATAGTGAGTTTGGGATTCAATTAACTGCAAGTATGTAGAAAATGAAGCAAATCAAGAAACAATGCAATGATTAGCTCCAAGGAAAACAAAAATATTGTTCTGGAAAGAAAAGGAAACCATAGTAGCCTGCAGCGCTCGGCCATGAAGAGCTTTCATACAGTCTTAGTAATGCAAACTCTGAAAAGTTCTCTCTCCTAAATTAAAATCTAACTGATTTGACAGGATGGGAGGGAAAGGAGAGGGGAAGAGGGAGAGGATGGGAATAGCAGAAGTGGGGGAGGGGTTCCATTGTGTACCTTTTTACACTGTTTTGATTTTTGAACCATGGGAATGATTTTTCTAAACCAAAATAAGTTTTTAATGAGAATTATTTTACTATTTGTCATAGCCTTTTCAACAACTGATTTCTATAAATATGTGCTTTCTTCCCTCTTTTCCTCTTCAGAAATTAAAACACAGAGCACGGGGTTGTTCACCTGATATCAGACAAATAGACCTTGATGTCAACCGCACATTTAGGGACCATATTATGTTTAGAGACCGATACGGTGTTAAGTAAGTAAAGTTTAATATTATGAAATATAAATAGCATTTATAAATAGTCTTTATCAAAGTCTTTATTAACTTAAAATGTGAGTGTTTAGAATGTATTCTTTAGACTATGATTTTGATTTAGGCCCTAAAGATTTAAGCTTTTGCAGATCGTTTGAGTCCGTGTTGTATGAAACTTAGGATTTAATTTAACTTACATTTTTTAACTTAGTAGATGCTATAAAATCGGTAAAGAATCATTTTATGATCTGGGAATGCTTAAAAATGTAGTAGATACTATTATTAAAAGTATTAGAAAAGATACGAGAGATTGTTTGTATCATTGATAAATATATCTCTATAACCTTGGCCCCATGCATAAATGAAACTAAAAAAGGGAAATAAATGAAAGGAAATTAATTAATGAACTGAGTATAACAGGGCATTAATACTACACATTGCCTTATCATTGCTGTGACAGTTTATGAATAAAAGATACCGTTTTGCTGACTTCTGTATCAGTCAGGGTCCAACCAGAGAAACAAAAACCAGTAGGAGATCCATAGTAAGAGATTTATCTCAAGGTAGTGGCTTGTCCAGTTGTGGGGGCTGACTAGGCAAGTCCAAAATGCGCAGGCAGGCCCTTGGGAGGCATGAGCTGCTGTCCGCAGGCAGAACTTCCTCTTCAGGGAAGCCTCAGATCTGCTTTCACGGCCTTTTAACTGATTGAATGAGGCCCACCCCGATGATCTCAGATAATCTCCACTACTTAAAGTCAACAAATTATGGATTTTATTCACATCTACAAAATGCCTTCAGAGCAACAACTAGACCAGTGTTTTGGATCACTGGGGATTATTGTTGAGCCAAGTTGACACACAAAGCCAACCCGCACAGTCTGCCTTTGTCAAGCTGACACACATCTCAGTTTCCACACTAGACAGTGACAAAGTCATAGCGCTGTCTAACATGATACAGCTCTTCTGCTTACAACTAAGAACGTGCTGATCCTTTCCCCACAAGAGGATGCCAAGTCCTTGGGTAATGTTCACTCTTTGATATCCTATAACTTAAATACTGTGATACAAAGTTAACTATTAATACATCTTGTGTTAGATGGAAAGGGAAAAGAGAAGGAAGAAAAAAATTTGTCAATATATGTATATAAGGCATATGCTTACCAAAGTAAGAGAAGAAATACTCGTAGCAATTACAGTTATCATTTCTGTGACTGGTCATGTGTCGTGCCTGGTGTTTGTAACTACCTTCTTCCACTGCCCATTCTGTGTTCCCTTTGCCCTCAGCAAGGGCCTAAGCTGGTTGTGGTTCTTTATCTGGTGGGGTGACCCAAACCGTCATTCCAAAAAAATTTGGACCGTTAGCGGTCCTGCCTGAATTAGTTATTGTAGTTTTCCAGTGACTTCAATCGCAGGGCTTGACAGTTGTGATACGAGATGCCCCAGGTGCTCTGCTGTATTCTAGACACGCTCCTCCTTGTGTCCGCTGTGTAGTGGCAGCCCGTCTCCCCTTCGCAATCAGGATCAGTGACCTCAGCAGGCCCAGCCACCTGCTGCTTTGCCTGTTCATTCAAAGGCACAAGGAGCCCAAAGTGGTTGGGCTTCCAGTTCAGTGGAATCACTGTTATGTCTCCTGGTGGAAGTGGTTGTCCTTTTGGAACTAAGATCTCTAGATTAGCAGATCCTAAGGTTGCAGAGGTGGGAAGCAGAAAGTTTGCTAGTGGATCATTAGGGATATCAGTGAATGGAGTCTCTCCTATTTCCACCCCTTGAATCTTGGGTCCCTGAGTCCCTGCAATGGGAAAAACAGCACCTTACCTTGGAGCCTGATTTGGAGCATATGCGGCTTCCTGAGGCCGTTGCTCCGGCCCTGCGAGGTGTGGCACCTGGCTGGTTCCGTGACTGACTCTTCCAAAGGCCATCCCACTGTTCTGTCAAGCCAGCTGCTTCAAAGTGGGGTAGTTCAACAAAAAGAGGGCAAGAAATGTAAGAAATTTTGAAGTCCTTTGTGTGTTTTGATATAAGTTCTATCAGAATAAATGTTATCTAGTCTCAAATTTAGACTGTTTCGAGTATTGTTTCAGTTTGAGCTTGGGATAATTTCTTTATTACAGTGGTAGTTTTATCTGGCTTATCTGTTTGTTTTCAGTCAGCCTGTGGTTTGTTTTTTTACGTTTGTCATTTTAAAAATATGTGAAATGACTGAATTGTGTTTAATGTGAATTTTTCTCTCTAGGCAGCAGTCCTTATTCCATGTTCTTGCTGCATATTCCATTTATAATGCGGTAAGTTGGAGCATGCCCACCCACTTCCTTGAGGTGTGTTCTGAGGGACGGGAGGTGCTTTCGGCACCCTCTACCTAACAAGGCCCTCTGCGCGCACTTCTTCACCTCCCAGTCAGATGGTCCCCACGTCTCCTTTAGCTGTGTGGGTCTTTTCAAGCCGACACCCAAAAGTAGCCCTCGGGTCTCAGAGCAGAGCTGATTTGGAAGTGGAAAAGCCTAGATATGAGCACAGGTTGCCAGTGAATGTGACTTTCTCTCTCTCTCTCCCTCCAGACCGTTTTGTTTTGTTATGCTTTGTGATGTTGATTGTTTTCTTCTTATTTTTAAGCAAATAAGACTGGGAATGGGCAGGGTAGAATGATAGGAAGTTGGTAGCTAGATTAATTTTTGCTTGACATTTTATAACTCTTCATTGCTCCCAGGAGGTTACCTTTCAGTCTCACCTTGTATGCATTAGATGAGGTCCAAAACAGGATAACCTTGGTACTTACGGCCATCCCCAGGAGAGGCTAAAACTAAACTCTTCGGTAATAGACGTGCTGTTCTTATGGCATTTACCATTCTTGGGGGAGAAGATAATTCGGGGAAAGATGAATTAGTGTTGGACCTAGTATGGATGTTACATAAGTCCTTGGTGACTAGGTCCCAGGGAGGACAGCCTTTGAACCTTGGGATATATAATTTCTATTGTAATTAAAACCTTTAAGTTGTAAGAACAGAAATTCACTCAAACTCAGGAAAGTTAGAAAGGGGGTCATTAAAGGGACTTCTAGAAAGGAAGCCCTAGTCGGGCTCATGGGGATTGGAGCTGGGAAGTGGGGAGTCTGCGGGGGAGGACAGCTGCACCTTCTGTCGTTCCCACCCTGGGGCCACTTGGCGTCTCCTGTTCTCTCTGTGAACCGTTTAGTCCACTGCTTCTCTCTACAGATTGCTTCCTTTGCCCACTTGCTGGTTATTCTTTGTCTAGAACCGTGCCCACAAACTCAGCGTGACCAGTCTGTTCAAGGGCATACACCCATCTGATTGCAGCCTCTGGCTTTGCTCAAACTTCCTAAAGAGAGTGCTGTCTGATTAGTCAGTAACCAATTACCTGTTCCCCTGGGCTCAGGTGTCCCCTTCTGGTCCATCAGCTGTGGTTCCTGTGACACACACATGGATCCCTAAGGCCACATCATAAGCAGGGACTATGGGGAGAGTGGGTGTTTCTGTGGATGGGCTTCCCAAAATGTGTCTATGTACAGGTTCGGAAATCTAGAGGAGACAAAATAGAAAACTGAGAATTGCAGGAAGAGAGAATTTGCCAGAATCTGAGCAAAGAAGAGGAATAGTGAGCTGAGAATCATACATGAAACGAAATAAATATTAGCACTCTTTAAAGAAAGCAAAACAGTATTGAACATAGGACATTAAGAAAAACATGGAGGTATTTAGACTTTGTCTACACCTGTACATTTATTTTTGAGCACAATTTCCTTCTTTTGTAATGTGTAACATAATACTGTAAAGAGTGTGATGTTTATCTCTAGAATTGCCTATCAGATAATGGGTCTAGGCATTTTCTGGTATTTTATAGATCAGCTTTGTCTTTGTGCATATACGTGTAATTCGATTTTAAACTCTCCAGCATCTGTGTTCTCCTTTGCTCTTCAGGAAGTCGGGTATTGTCAGGGCATGAGCCAGATCACAGCCCTGCTCCTCATGTATATGAACGAGGAAGATGCCTTCTGGGCCCTGGTCAAACTCTTCTCGGGTCCCAAACATGCCATGCATGGTAAGAAAACCCTGTATATTATCATAAACATAAACAAGAGAGAGAAAAAAGGTAAATTAAAACAAAATCACAGATGCTTGGTAGAATCAAGTACAACAAATTTAATGTCTCAGGACTTGTTTGGTGAACTAGTATTTATTACTAATTTGTTCTTTCATTTTTCTTTATTGAACTTTTCTAAACTTTTCTGTTCACATTTATTTTCCTTTGTCTTTACCACAGAATATATTGTTGGCATTTTAAAATTCTTTCTTTACTTGACCTCAGTCAAAAGAAACTAGGTTTAGAGGAATTTAGGAAAAGGTATATTATTGGAAGCAATAAAAGATGCCTTTTGATCAAAACTTTCAGAAGGTCATGTGATTATCATTTTAGTGAAATGTTTACCATTGACTAGATATTGTGATGTATAACTCCTTGTCAAAAAATAATAATTGAGGGTGGACATGGTGGCTCGTACCTGTAATCCCAGCACTTTGGGAAGCCAAGGCAGAAGGATCACTTGAGGCCAGGAATTCGAGACTAGTTTGGACAACATGGTGAGACCCTGACCCAACAAAAAAATTTAAAAATTAGTGGGGCATGGTGGTACACACCTGTAGTCCCAGCTACTCAGGAAGCTGAGGTGGGAGTTCAAGGTTGCAGTGAGCTATGATAGTACAACTGCACTCCAGCCTGGGTGACACAGCAAGACCCCATCTCTTAAAAAAAAGAACAAATTTTGATAAATGACACTTGGGTGTTTAAGGAAAGGTACATAATAATTAAGTAGTTTTATATTTCAAGTGGAGGTTTTATAATAGTTCCTTCAGCCATAAAATCGGTTCCATTTTAAATAAAAGACTCATAACATGGTTAGGGTACTCAATTATTTAATATTGCAAAACTTGAATAATTTTTTGGTTTTCGATTTAGCACATTGTTTTTAATAGCCTTTTCCTTATATTTGCCAAGCTAAGCAATAAACTTTATTTCACAGAGTTTGGATTGCAACTTGTTTTGGAAATAAAAGTAGCATTTGTTGATATAATGCAAAATTATTTTCCAGTGCCAGCCATGTGGTAATATCAAATTTAAAACAATTTTAACACTAGTTACTCTGAGAATGGATTATCTAAGTTCAGTT